CTTCAAATGCAGAAAGCAAACATCTCAACTCTCTAAATATGCTTTAGCTTATAGAGGATAAAATTAAAACATCAATAAGTTAAATAAGATTAATATTCTTTAAGACATCGTATTTCATATTATTAAAGTCCATACTGGGACTAGAGGTTATTTACAAACTGCAGTGGTAGTTAAATTAGCTAAGGTTCTTGGGGTCTTGGGTTGTGAAGCTAATGTTCAAAGGCATTGAAGTTTTTGGTGTGGCTGAGTTCTGCTTCTTCTGGGATTTCTGGTCCAATTTGGCAATGTACTCCTTGACCCAGCTCTGGTTGGGGTTGGCACAGACCTCCTTGTTCGATACAGTCTTGAAGCTGTGGGAGAGAGAAGCCAGAGTTAAGGCTTTGCAGGTGCAGTTCAGGAGCACAGCCCACCCTGTTTCAGTGGGCTGCCCTGGGGGTAAGAGAGGAGGAGGCAGGTGGAAGGAGGCAGTGTGGGAAAGCTGCCCGACTAGGATCCCAGGTGAAGTAATCCTGACTGCTGGCTGAGGACATGGGACATGTGTGTGCACTCATGTCTCACTGAGTGTGCACCCATATGGGGAGTGAGGTTGAGAGTCAACTTTTCCTCATTGGCCTTGGTTTTGCAACGTGGAATAATTGGTCATTGAGTTTCAGAATATAATGTTCTGATTCTAAGTGTGTGGGGACTGCCCGTTGCCCTCCAAGGAAGAACTCTGGATCAGGGAGGGCTGGGGGCTGAACTCACATCACGGCTTCCTGGGGACACCTGCTGCTTGTGATTCTTTCATAGCTCCTCACCCTCTTCAGTGGGATCTTCTTGTTAAATGTGTAGCAGCAGACGGGGGCGTTAACTCCATCTGGAAAAGAAGTCAATGATAAGGTATTGGAAGATGGTGAGGTCTTTCTGTTCTCAGAAGAGGAAGCCATTATGAGAAGAAAATAAAGTGATAGCATGACTAGAGGTAGAACTCATGAGATCCTAATACTTCCTCAAAACTAGAAAAAGATATTTAATGCATTGCCTCATTTTGCCATTCCATAAAATGGGTGTGCAATGCTCATACTAAACAGGAGAAAGGTGAGCTGCCAAAATTAGATAATTCAGAGTAATTTTGTTAGAAGAGGCTAAGGGTTCAGCTTACTAGGGCCAAGGGTCAACCAGGAATCCTAGCCATGGGGTCTTCTTCTAAACAACAATCCATGCCTTATCTTTGTGTCCCTGATGCCTGCTGCATGTGCTGAGCCATTGGCCCTGGAAGCTGAGCTGAGTGAAGCACAGACCTGATTCTGCGTCTCCTCCCTCCTCCCTGTGTCTGGAAATTCCCTGATCCTAGATGCCTCTCTCCGGTCACCCAGGACACAAGCGCTGCTGAATGCTGCTGGAGCAATAGCTCCTGATGCTGTTTTCAGAGCCAGAGCCCTGCAAGCAGCTGGATTTGGAGTCCACAGCTGGAATCCTCACTCTTTGCCCATTGGCAGCAGGGTGATTGGGCTCTGTCCTTGTCCTGCTATGAGCTTCCTCACATTGGAAGAGCAGCCGCTAAGGTGAGATGAGGGCCCCCTTGTGCTGCACTGAACCCTGGTGACCCAGAGATGAGTGATGCGCTGTCCAGGGAGGGAGGCAGGGCCTTACCTGGCTGGGCCAGCAGGAGGGTGCTGAAGGTGGCCACTGTGAGCAGCAGGCACAGAAGGACTGAGGAGACCAGCATGGTGGAGGGCAGGAGCACCAGCTTCAGTGTGAGAGGCGGATGTTTCTGAGCTGATCCCAGCTTCTCTGCTCTTCTGGTGTCTCTCTCTGCCTTTTATTGAAATCTAAGAGGGTGGCGTCAGGCAAGAGGGCTTGGTTCATGGCAGCATCATGGTGAATAAATGACACAGTGGAATGTTGAATCTGCTGAGCAAGTACAGTATCCTGTGAAGTTTCCAAGAAGTAGAAAAGGTGGCTGTGAGCCAAAACTTGCCACTTTTTTGATCCACTGCTGAGGTCAATTAGTCCCGTGCCCTTCATGGGGAAGTGGGAGGCCATACGCCCCACTCTCTCAGCAGATGAGAACACTCTGTGTTATTCTTAAGGATTGTTTTCTCTCAAGTAAAAGGAAACCAAATGAAAACCTCAGCAAGACACTTTCCTTTCCATAGCAGGAATTGTCCTTCAGGCCCACCAAACTCTCCTTCTTCCAACTAAAACTGGAAGGACTTATGACAAGAAATACCCCACTTATACATAAGGTCATTCTGTAGAGATGTCCAGGAGCCAGCTGTCCTTTAACAGTCACTATACCAGTCCTTTAACATCAATGTCTGGACAGAATGTCTTTCCACTCTAGTACTCTTGTTTTGGTTGTATGTACTTCAATCTTTTGGTAAAAGTTGTTCATTCTTGTCTAGAGCCTTCCATACTCCAACTGACCACATAGCCAGAACCAATGACAAATGTGTCAGACTCCTTCTACTGAGTGAACTAAGTAGACCTTGAGAATGGAATTAAGAACTGCTAGACAGTAATATGACTTTGATTCTCAGCCACTTATATTTTCTCTCTGAAGAAAATCCCTGACTGCTGTTTCCCCTACACTGACCCTTCTCTGTTTGAACCTGCTAGATTGAAAATATACTCATTCTCCACTAACCACCGTGAGGGTTAGCTCTTCAGAGGGAGAATGATATTGGTAACTAAGTTAGGTACAAATCAATATACAGTCAGAAAGGGCCTGAGTTCTCAATGAAGTCAGTTAAGAATGGCAACAGAATTATGGTGAGAGGTACATCTAAAGAGGGCTAGGCCTGAAGATAGAGGTGTAATTTCTAGGCCTTCATGCATAAGGCAAAATAAGGTCATATAGACATCAGTGGCCCAGGTGAGTGACCAATGTATTTAGACTCATCTCTTCCCAAAAAATATCCTTATTCTTTCCATGTACTCTGGATATGTGACTCATTTCCATATTGAATAAATATTAGCCAAGAGATTATATGTGCAATTGTATAGGTTGATTATAGTTCAACCAGCACTGTATTGACATTGTGACTTTGCTGTACAAATTCGACAAAGGGCCTTAGAGGCAACCTACTTTGGGGATACTTCTCATCTCTTAGGACCTGTTTCTTAATAAACCTTGCCTACACTTAGCCTCTGTTACTCCATGGAATTCATTTGTTCAATTTCAAGGGACAGGAACGTGGCAAATGTGATGTCTAACAGTTTGGGAATTATAGTTTGTTCTAAATCAGCCTCACACTTGCTTTCTGGGTCTCCCACTATGGAGCCACTGGTCTTAACAGATTAGAGATGCATCTAACACAGGAAATCTCAAGTCTTAGTACACAGATTTTGTTCAGTAATGGAGTCAACTGCAAATCTTGCTAAATGGTGAATTTTGTTTCAGAAGTTTTGCGGTGGGATCTAACATTTTTCTCCTAAGTTCCTAGTACCACAAATACTGTTGGTCTACAGTCCATATTTTGAGTAACAGGAACCTACTGTCTCCATATGGTAGCCCCCAACACTCTCCTGAAATCTTAAGGGCCCAGTTCTCTGCTAGATACAGTTCAATATTCACTGTACACCTACTGTATGATCCGAAATGTGCTAGGCTCTAGCTTCTTTGTACAAATGTACACACACTCCCAGTTTATGAAAAAGGAATCCAAGTCCAAGAGAGATGGGAGGAGCCTTCTTACTTGCACTTCCTTTGTTTCCTAGGATATGCACTTGTGAGCTTGAGGAGCAATTTGGGAAGCTGTGACAGCAAAGTGAAACCACCCACCTGAAAGCCCTGGGATGCTAGTGGGCATTTGCCTTGTAGATTTCCATTTTTGTCCTACAGCCCAATCTGCATGATCTGAAAGTAGATGAGCACCCACTTGATATCACCCACATGGATTCCTGTGGTTGGGAGTTTCTCAAAAATTATACTCTAAGCCATCTTTAGGGGAGCTACCAGAGAGACTTGAGGTAAAGACATGTTTGTAAATTAAAATATATACAATAAAATAATTGTTTATTTGTTATTCCACCCCCAGATCATGAGTGAGCCTGATTAAGGTCTCACTGAATTGTCTTTGTCTTTTAAATACATTAAGTGTAGTGTGTCTTCCAGGCTGCTGCACATAGATGTTTTTGACAAAGGGATGAGTGACAGAGACACGTGGTCTCTGTGGATGCAGAAGTTAGAAGAAAGTGTGTCTCCATGTCTCACACATTCTTCTCAATTCTGTAGTTTATATATGGTCACAGAGGATCCTGGAAAGAACTTTGAGGGCACAGGGAATGACAGAGCCAATGAATGGAGAGAGTCAGATCCCAGAGTAACAAAGTGGTGAAGAGACTCTCTCACCCCCAGCGGCCTGTGCTGACTGTGACATGAAAGGCAGCCTTCCTCTAGAGCAGGCACAGACACTGTGATTTGCTGGGTGCAAAGTTTGCCTCCCCAAATGAAGTGCAGGCGAAAGGATGTTGGTGTTGTTTTTCAAAAGACTTCAAGTAATTTTAAAGGGCTAGAGTTTGATGAAAGACAGGCTATGGATGCAGGCTGGAAGTATATCTGTGTAGCAAGCAGAGCTCTGCAAAACACCACACATAGCAATCACCTTCACATCACACCACTCTACCATTCTTTCTGTGTCATGAAAAATGAAAAGAATTGTGGGGACCTGCTACAGATGGTTGTGATGACACTGTGCTTTCCTACAGATGGAAAGGTTAATTTCTGGAATAAGAGCTCAATTTCAGGGCACTCCAGTAACGCCATGCACTCTCCTGAATGACACAGAAGACAAACAGCCGAATAGCATGCCAGGTATGTCAGCCATCAAGACAGTAAAGCTCAAAGATGGTTTGTGCTTATTCTCATATCTATCATCTTATCTCTTTGTGTAGTCGAAGATCAAGCCTGTGACAGTGTTGAGGATTGAAGTTAAGTGAACATAAACAGCAGCATGCACCTTTTAGGGAGTGGAAAAGATACGGCAGTCCATAAATTCATCTCAGCCACCAGTACTTGAAAGCAAGAATCTGTCACCCCAGTGTGACTTGTTTCTAGCAGCACAGGACAGAGGGACGCTTTCTGTACCCCAACTCACACGTGCACACACGTGTGCAAACACACAGGCCATCAAGAAAGAACATCTTACCTCTGGTCTTGCATGACATTATTCCAAGCTCAGTTGGAAACTGGGGGAAAAGGGTGAAGAATTATAGAGAATAATCAGCTCTCTTCTTCACTTTCTTGGAGCCTAAAGAGACTGATTCTGTTAACGGCTCATTTTTCTCTCATGAGAGAATGGTCACTGGAGTGAACCATCCTTTCTCCAAAACTGCCCAAGGCTGTAGACAGCTCTGACCAGGGAAAACCTAGACTGAAGAAAACATGGTTCCTGCCTACTTTTTGATGTCACAGCATCAAATAATGAGAACAAGCCATGAGCCACATCGTCCCAAGGTACCCTCTGAAGTAGAAGCAGGAAGTTTGTTGTAACTCACTGTGTAGCCTCGGAAAAGTTGACCTCGTGCCCATCCAGAAGCCACAGGTGACTCCATCTACGCACAGGCCCATTGCCACTGATGAAATCAACCTCCCACTCCTGATTCGCACATCCAGCTCAGCTCCTCGAATGTTCTGGCAAGTAGGGCCACGGTGTTACTCTGAGATCTTCCTGGCTCAAAAGTAAAGAGCCAAATCTCAAAGTAAATTCTCTTAAGCAACAAAGAGCAAAGTCAAAACCAACATTCAAAACCAATGTTGGAAGTTGAAGTCTCCATCCTTGGGCACAGATCCTGTGTGCTATACACATTCTCACAGCAAGCAGCAGGCTTCACATTAGAACTTAGTAGGCCATTGGAGGACCCACATATCCTGAACTCCTGGATGGCAGAGGCTTTGCTTTCTTTATCACTGTAATACCAATGGTATAAGAGGATTTCAGGAAAAATCATGGCCAACTGATTAAGTGAATCCAGGAAGGAAGAAATGCTGAGTGCTCAATTTTCCCTGTTTCATGAGATCCCACTCAATTATAAAGAATGATCCCTAAGATGCTAGAAGATACAGTAATTAACCACACAGCCTTTCACTAAATACTGGAACCATCAGTATAAAGAACTTGCATCTGACACATGTGATGATCTTCTCC